AGATTCGTCTTCATTTGCATAAACTTTAACTTGGATTTTCTCTATCAAACTTGGTTCATTTCGTAAAGAATTCGGTACAGTATGAGAACATACATCTGGGGTTTTTTAAGCCGTTTAATAAACTCGCAGATCGTGTTTTATCGGGTCTAAAACCACTCGGCTACGCCTCATGTTTTATACCCGATAAAACACTCTTGCTCGTTTATTAAACAGTACATAATGACAGTAAAAAGAAGTGGTAATGATAATAACAATGGTGATTATAACGATAATAATAATTTATTTCTTATAAGTTGAATTTGATAAAATGTGCTTAAAATTTCAAAAAAAAATTTCTAAAAAGTAGATTTTTTTAAGAATCTTTCTTTGACTCACAACACATTGCGCGCCAAATCGCCAAAAAACACGTTGGAAACAAACGTTTAAAAATCATGCAACCTATCTTTAGCCATCATCAATCCAACCAAAAATTAAAAATATCCTCAACTTATTTTTTGGGAGCCAATCAGAATTAAGGAACATAGCAAAGTTGTTTTTTATTTGCTAAAATGTTTAACATATATTCTAGAAACTCGAATATTGTGGATAACATGATCGCTATGATGGCTAAGTACACGGATCAACTGGAGGATTTGGTGGAAGAAAGGACGAAGCAGCTGGCAGAAGAGAAAGCAAAGACAGACGAACTGCTCTTTAAGATGTTACCAAGGTAAATGAAGAAGCTATTAATTATTATTATTATTGATATTAGGCTTTCAGACTTCGGTAGATTTTTTGTTCAACTTCATGGGAGTCAAATCTTAAAAATTAAAAAATGTATTGTTGCTATGGAGACGTAAATAATGGCTTTAAGCCAATCACAGTTCGTTTTGTATTCTCAATATAGCAAAAAATAAAAAATAAAAAAAATTGTGGGGTTAGCACTTTTCACATGGTTCAAAAGGACCTGTTGGATTATAAAACAATAGAACAAGGCAGTAAAACGATAGATTCGTTCTAATGTTTGACACTTAAAGGTGTGCTAATAACCGATTTATGGCCGCCATGTTGAATTTTTTCAACATGGCTGCAGGAAAACATGAAAACAAGTTTTAAAATAGCTTGTTTGCCTGAGTAGGTCAAAGCAACTTATGTTTTGTCGCAGGAATTCCTTGCTTGTCGTAGCTCCTCTCGTCCCAATTTATCTACCTTTCTTCGAATATTACGTTTATAACGTTTAAGCTAAAAAGCTTTAAGTATTAGAGTTCACAAATTATAAGTCGCTATCTGCTTTTCTATTATATACGACAAACACTTGAAATTTGCAGAATCATTAAAGCATATATTATAGACTTACCACTCAAAATAACTCCTCAAGATCGTAACTGCGTGTGTCAACTCTAATAAGCGCCATATTTCGTCAAGTTCCCAACATTTTCAATTCAGCTTCTACTAGCTGCTTCGACTGCAAAGCTGGATTTACAGCCATTTTTCCCTTACTTTACTAACTCCAATATAAAGTCAATATGTCTGTCAACTCCTTGAAACAACTTGTATTAGCTTTGGGTTCGCCAAGATTGGAAATAAGTAAAAGCATGTTTACTAAAATACTTTAAATTTGCATTTTCATTCAAACTTCGTGCACAATCAGTGCACGATGGTATTTGACACAGGGAGCCCATTTGATATAATATTGATGTTTAAACCGGAAATAAAAGGCTTGGCACAAAACTAATAGATATTTAATTTCGTCTTATTTTCCTGTTTACTTACTATTTACTGTGACCAATTCAAGTGGGCTCGCTGTGGTATTCCAGTAGGATCCAGTGACGCAGTTATTTATTTATTATATATTATTTATTTGATCACATTTTTTAGACCAATAGCGGAAGAGCTAAAGAAAGGAAACTCGGTTGCTCCGGAGAGTTTTGCAAGTGTTACGATATTCTTTAGTGACATTGTTGGATTCACGAGTGTAGCAGCTCAGAGCACGCCATTCCAGGTAGGTTTAATTAAATAGTGCTCTTACTTCCTTCCTTCCTTCCTTCCTTCCTTCCTTCCTTCCTTCCTTCCTTCCTTCCTTCCTTCCTTCC